AGAGTCTCACCCAGTTCTGAGTTGCTCATGCTATGAGAGGATAGTTTCTCTCTCTTCAGCTATTTATTTTGCAGGAGCCCATGGTTAAATTCTCCTAAGTTAAATGCATGTGTGATGCTGCCCTTCTGTAGTTACCATCAAATCAAGGAGGAAGGGTGTGAACCTCTTTTCAGTCCATACTCCTGAGAGCAGCTGCTGAGCAGGCAGAAGTGGTTTTAGCAGGAAAGTTTAGGAGTTAGAACCATCCGCTGGCTGTGCAGGTTCGAACTCTGCTAGCTATTGTTCTGTTGGGGCAGGTCCTGCAGGGGTACCAGCATTGAGCCCTGGTCCCTAGTTCACTCTGAGCTCTTCCCTGCCACCTTCACCCCTCACCCTGTTCCTATATGCCTTCTGTTTGTTCTCTTTCTGTGCCTGGTCTTTCTGCTGGATGTTACATGAAGTAGGGCCAGAAGCAGGTCTTGGTGTGAGCCAGGTCAGCAGCCGGGTATGGTGAACTGGAGGCAAGTGTGAGAATGTCACAAACAAGCCTTCAGGTGGGAGTTCTGGCTAGTGATGTCCTGTCCTGAGTTAGTGGTCTTGATTTGGCATTAGGTGTCATCAGTGTCACCTGGCTCTTAGGGGTGTTTTTGTGGGTGAAGAATGAAGATGATCTAGGTTGTCTTCATCTATAAACTTTTGAAGGTAAAGACTTGTTTTTTACTTTTTTCAAGAATTCTGAGTACACAGCCATCCACTCATTCATTCAGTTAGGTATTGGGTGCTCATTACATGTCATCCTGGATCAGGTTCTGAGGCAGATTAAGATGAAGGATACAGGCAGGATCCCTGCCATCAAGGGGAAGATAGTTAAATAGGCTTTAGCAATACCTGTGATATTGTGACCAGATGGGATTCTGAGGGAACACAAAATACTTTGGGGAGCAAGGGAAGACCCCCAAAGGAACTGACATTTAACCCACAACCTGAGAAATAAGTAGGAATTACTGGGGCCACAGAAGATTTGGGTGGGAAGGGATAGGAAGAGGATATGGCATGCAAAAAAGTGTAGCAGTGAAAGGGCTTGGTACTTTCAAGGAAGTATAGGAGTTTCAGTAGAGCTGGATCAAAGCATGTGAGAGATAGGATTATAAGAGATAAGACCTGGAGAAATAGAAAATAAAGTTTCTCTAGGTACTTAATACTAAGAGGAGTAGAATTGCTAGATAATTGGACATACATGCCTCAGCTTTGCTAGATAATGCCGGACAGTTTTTCAAAGTGTTTGTACCTAATATCCCATATTAGGAAGTTTGTTTGTTATCCACAATAAAGAGCCACTGAAGGCTTTTAAGCAAGAGAGAGATGTAATCATATTTGCATTTTAGAAAGATCTCTTTGAGTACTGTGTGAAGAAGCCATGGGAAGAGGGAAAGCCTGAAGCCTGTTTGCTTGCTTAGGGGATGGCTAAAGTAGTCCAGGCGAGAGATGATGGCAGTCAGGACCTGGGTAACAGCTTGGAGGAAGTGGACAGATCCTGGAATTTCAGAGGTAGAACCAATGGGACTTGCTGAAGAGTGAGCAGGAGGACCCAGGTTTCAGGCTTGAATGGAAGGTGGTACCATTCTCTCTTGCTAAGCTGGAGAATGCTAGCAGAGGAGTAGGTTTAGAAGGAAAGTATGGTTTAGTTTCGGCCATGTGACTTAGAGGCGCTCATTGGACATCGACGTGGGGAGTCCCAGCAGATCTGGAATAAGAGTTGCTGAAGAGAGGTAGCCACCATGTGCTTCCCTAGCCTAGACTGCTGAACTTTGGAAGCATGCCATCAGATAAGGAAGTTTATAGCACAGGTCGGGCCAGTTTCCAGGTCTGTATAGAACTCAGGTCTGTCTCTCCTATCTTTTCAATCCCCAGGACTTAGGCTTCTTCAGGCACTCAGCATCTTTCTCCGGGATAGCTTGAAATGTCTCCTCTCAAGCATTCCAAGCTGACCAGACAAACATACTATCCAGGCCATGGTCCACCTTCAGCCAAATCTGGTTGGTCTGGTAAATGGGGCAAGAAAGCCGAAAGACCTGCGTCTGGCAAGGGAAATAGGTCCCTGAGAGCCAGCACGTAGCCTCTTTGACCACTGCTGTGCTCTGTGTGTGCACAGGGGTGTGTGGCCCTGTCACCTAGCCCGGGGCTGTAGGATAGAGGTGGAGAAGCCGGGAGGAATTTCTCATTTGCTACTCAGACATCTAGTTAAGAGATTGAGAGGCCTGTTGTTGGTGATGGTGGAATATTTGCAGGGGCAAATCAGGAAGAATTTCCTTAGAGCTGTTCCCTAACCTGGCTTATGATCAGAATCAGTTTTAAAAAATAGATTTTTGGAAAGTGTAAAAATACAGAGAAACACCCACATGTCCATTTTTGATTCAGATTTTTAATTTTTTAATTGTGAAACCTAGCATGTATACAGAAAGTGCATGACATAGAGGTGCTAAATAACAAATAATTATTAAGTGACACCTGAGTCAAGAACTAGATGATGGTGGGTACTCAGGAGCTCCCCCTTTATCTTTTCCAGTCACATCCCTCTTCCTCCTCTCCTGGAAGTAACCACTACCCTGACGTTTTTGATAATCATTTCTTCTTTCCTCTAGTTTTACCATCTAGTTTCAGAATCCCTAAACAGTATATTTCAGTTTTGCATGTTTCTGAACTTTATGCAAATAGAATCATGCTATTTGAATCCTTTAAGTTTTGTTTCTTTTGCTCTACATTATTTTGTAAGATTCATCCATGTTTGTTGCAGCCCACCTTTTTCATTGTTAAATAGTATTCCATTGTAGAATGGATCACAATTTATTTATCTATTTTGTCGTTCTTAAACATTTAAAGTTGTCTCCAGTTTGG